TCGACTCCCACCATCCATACAGCGTAAAGAAAGGGATCGTCCGATGCTTACAACACCGAGCAAAAGTCATAAGTGGCGATCTAGAGACGTTAGATAAGGAATTGGTCAGTATAAGTAGTACCCTACAACGTAACAACTACCCTGGGTATATGGCAGCAGCCCCCAACAACTGGGTACAAGAGGAGGAGGAGGACAACAACACTCAGAAAACAGTCTGCCTGCCTTATGTGAAGGGGTTATCAGAGAAAATACAAAGGATCTGCGGTCCATATAACATCAGGACAACCTTCAAAAGCGTGACAACACTTCGCAGATATCTCTCACGAGTGAGACCCCCCACAAAGGGGAACATGACTAAAGACTGTGTGTACGCTATCCCGTGCAGCTGCGGAAAGGAATATAAAGGAGAGACAGGCCGCCCCCTCAAGGTAAGGCTTCAAGAACACCAGAAATCTGTAACGCGAGGGGAAGTAGAAAAATCAGGCGTGGCTGACCACATATGGAGAGAGAAGGGAGATCACCGCTCCCCCTGTGGGATCATGTTGAGATCATAGACAGGGAACACCATTGGAAAATTCGTAAACTTAAGGAATCAGCACATATGCTCGGCCACAAAAATCTCCTGAGCTGACCAAGCATAGAAATAAATACAATATGGGAACCAGTAATAAGGAGTGCCAGAGAAAAGCAATGATAACAAAGTTGCAATATGAACTCTGGTAAAGACATGCAATGATAACAGCAAAATTACAATATGAGCACTGGTAAAAAATGATGCTGAAAACATTAGGTTTATAATACTCAGAAGTTCATACCCAGATGTCCTCAAGACACATGGCACAGTGGATAAAGGCGTTGGTTAGATCCAGTGACAGACCCAAATGAGTTCAATACCTGGTTAAGGCAGTGGAGAACTTTCAGAGGGAAAATTAGCAGGAGATAACTGATAACTGACATCCATCAAACATGGCACGTGGAACTAGAACAGTCTACCCCAGTGATCGAAATAAAGGGTTCAGTTCGAAGTTCCAACCACCTGAAACGTTGTGACAAATATGGAGACAAAGATGAGGACAATAGTCCGACGTCATCAGTTCTCAAGTAGTAATCTATGCAGACGACATTACCATTTACTCCTGTCTCAATAGTTAACCCGGCATTGCTGACAAAGTTAACCTGACCGTTGGTCTCGAAAATGACCTCCATTTTGTGGTTGACAGGACAGGAAATGGCTTGTGAATTTTAATGCATCCGAAACGAAACTGCTATCATTTAACCACTGTAGAGAAACTTCTCTTCCTCCTATCAGCTCCTCACTGCGCCTTCTTGGTCTCACGTTTTCCACTGACCTGAGGTGGAACAAATATATTGAATCAATAGCTTCATCTACCGCAAGGAAAGCTGGTTCTTTGTGTCGCGCCAGAAGGTTTTTCTCGTCTGAGTCCATCCTTCACATCTACAAATCTGCCATTCGTCCATGTATGGAATACTGCTGCCATATATGGTCTGGTGCCCCCGCTTTTCATTTTGAGGTTCTCGACAAAATCCAAAGACTGATATGCAGTCCTGATTTAGGGTCTCGACTTCAGTCATTTTCTCACCGACTAATGCGGCTACCCATTTCTATAAATATTTTTATGTCATCTGTTCTGACGAGCTGTTTTCACTGGTGCCCCGATTGCATTAATTAATCGCCTCTTCTACTCCAACAGCTTCTTCTCTCGCACTCCCTTTCTCTTACTTGGTTCCCTGATAACTACAATCTTCAAAAATTTAAATGTAAAGGCAATCGACATCTGTTGTTTTGATCCCCATTCTTCTTTTTATCCCTACCCCCGTTCTTCAATTTATCCTTTCCTCAACCGCCCCCTATACCCAGTCTTTTCCCTTACTCTCTGTAGCTTCTTGCATACTAGTAGCACTCTTGCCTTGCTTGTGATGGAACGATTAAAAAAGCTTTTCTTCTGACGATGGCAATGGAAACTGCTGCAAGTTAAGAATCATTTACCAAATTATGTTAACTGGAGAGCTGTTCAAAATGGTTTCACCTATCCCAATTAATGCAATATTTATAGACATTAATAGATCATATAGCCTCAAATAACGTTGAATGTTTAAAGTGCCTATTTTAATCGATGGATCAAATAAAACTATGGATTGTATACTAACAATACTTACAGACTACTTATAAGGTTTGGGCATCTTTGATCGAATTCTATCAGACGTAAACTTGTTTGTTTCAATACCTAATCATAAAATATCGAAAATTTGTGTGATATTTCGCGATGTTTTTTAGAAAAGTGATTGAAAAAGTATTTTTTTTAACGTACTATTATCGTATTTTTAATAAATCTTTGTATATGACGATTAGAGTAAGATAAAATAGTCCAATTTACTTAACAATGTCGAAATTTTCGCTTGAATTTTGTCCTTTTTCTACATAATATACACATGCATTTGTAACAAAACACTGCTTGTTGTAATTGATCCACACGAGTGAATTGTTTTGTCAAACAATAAGCTTGCAAAGTTTTGTTCCTAATTTCAATAAACTCTGTACTTATACGCTATAACTCTTTTTAAAAATGAGATTTAGCATGACTTTTATTATAATACATCGAGAAGTAAGGCGTTTAAATTTTTCAACAGCAAACAATTTCTCGTTTCGTGTTCACATTTATGCCAATTATAAATGCTAAAACCTGACTGCATGTTCAAGTCCAACTGCCATTTTATTTATTCTACGTAGATTTACGTAAATACAAATGAGATTTTCAAAAAATATATAAATTTTCATAAAATTTCTCTAAAAGAGAATTTAGCTAAAATATATTTTTTAACTTTGATGATAACTAATTTGGGTAGAACAGCGTTACTTCATTACATGCATAAAAAGTCTTGTATATTAATTTTTATGCTCTCAGTTTTTTTTATTGTGATACTTGTAAATGTTTTTGACAACTGATAGAATTTGTGAAAAAAGAAAATTATTTAACGAAATGTTTAAGGCTAATTTTGCTAGCATTGCCTTAGCCCTTTGTGAATTCTATTTTCAAATATTTTATTTGTATTCCTTTTTTGTATTTTTTAATTGTCTTTTTTGTATATTTCATTATTGCTTCGTATATTTCTCCAAATATTTTACTTGGCTCTCAGTACTTATAACGGGATAAAATAAATACCGTCAATTTTTATTATGAGCAGTGACTCAATAAAATTTTATATGGAGGAAATACGATATGTACTATCTAAGCTAATAGAGGTTATCTCGTGTGGAGTCGTGTTTCAGAAAGCTCAACTCGTAGATCACTTGTAGCTTCATCGACATTTAGCTAAACTTTGTCAATAATTAAACACGTTTACATGAATGAGCACACAAGTATACATATTACATACAGCTATAAAATAATATCTAAATACGTACATAAATACTTTATCAATACGCTGCAGAATGAGCAACACATTCGACTGAAGAATTTCAGTTACTGTGCGTTTCTATGGGCCGATGCATCCCCACGAATGGCACTGGTTTACTGAGAGATGAGCGATTTTCTCGAGTTACCATCTCTAGAGTGGTTGCCAAACTAGTCTATAGAACCCAGTCTGTCTTGATAGTTAACCTATAGCTACAACGTGGAGAAGAGATGAATTCATACCTTTCCCAAAGATATTTGCAGGTTAGTGAATGTAATAAATTCAAGGGGAATTCGAAATCGGTTCTTTCATTTTCAGAGCCACAATTCATTTCACCATTAAGTTAGAAATGCCTTAAAACAAAATAGCAGAAGAAAAACATATGATCAAAAAAAAAATTGAAAGATATGAAAAGTGTTACCTATACCAAGAACAAATTTTAAACAAATTCATCCACAAAAAATAAACATTTTCGAAATTCATTGTAACAAATAAACTTTACAGTGTTATGTTTTTTGCTTTTTAAGTGTCAAATTTCGAAAATTAAATAATAACTGAGAACATAAAGAACATTAAAGAATCGACAGCCATTGAAATCATATAAAAACTAAAAGAGCTTTGATTTGGATTGTAACTGATATATTAAATTGTTCAACATGATTAACATTTTTCAAACAAAATATTTTAAATGATAATTTTAATAATATATTATTTTTTTAATAATTCATTATAAATGCCATCAATTTTATTTTGTTTATAGTATTCCATAGTGAATTAAATAATGAGCTGGGTTCAAAATTCCGGGAAGGTTACCAACTACGACAGACACTTGGGGAAGGCCAGAAGTACAATTGGCGGAGATTTATGAGAATAAGTGTATAATATTATTAACTCCGTTTGTTGACAAATATGCAAAGCCTTTTATCTCGTGATTTTTGCGTTTTATACTTTTATGAGTTCTCATAATTAAATTGGAATTTTGCATTTGGCAACACCTTTTTTAACAAATAAACAGTAAGAGTTTGATTTCAGAATGTTTCAAATAGAAACTTAGGAAAAAAGTTGGTCATACGCATCAGTTGAAGCGCCAAAGGCTGAAGTGATAAATGATAAAAAAAAATTAAAAAATACCCAATCGGAGAATTCACAACAAACTTTCATGAATCGAATGAAATCATTTCAAAGGATTTGAAAGTACACATAAAAAATCCCAATAAATTCGTTTTATTTGAACTGAATGAGAAACAAAAATCGTATGGAATTTTGCATTAATCATGTATGAAATTGATTACTGTTTGCATCGTATCATCACTTGAATGGATTTTTGTATTAGTGTAATAATCCAAGAAGCTGAAATATCAACTTGTATCGGTTACAAGGGGGTATGTGTGGTAGGACAAGAATGACGTCATATATGCCTTCAGTGTATTAACAATTAATGCACTGAAATACGTAAACCAGTTTGAAATAGTGCATTCAAAATTGTTAACGTCCAGTTTTGGTAAATAGAATGTACATAATTTTGTTGCATGATAATACCTGCCGTTATACCGTAAAATGAGATTATGAAAGTTGATTCATTTGAGCATGACTTTATTTTATCTTTGTTCATTCATGTAATCTATCTATCTATCTATCTATCTATCTATCTATCTATCTATCTATCTATCTATCTATCTATCTCCCATCCTTGATGGATTAGCATTTTCAAGCAATTCAGAACATTTACTGCAAGAAAAACTCCAATCAGGATCAAACTAAAGAAGCATCCAATGATTTTATCGGTTCTTTAAATGAAGAATTCTTAAACGAGGGAATGTTTCGAGGCCGAGGTAGAATATTTTGTTTAAAAAGTATTTCCTTTTTATTTTAATTTATTTCAAGTAAATAGTCAAATTTTATATTGAATGAGTTGATATTTATAAAATCTCATACTCATTCTATTCAGCTCTTATGAATATACTTCTATATTGATGAGTCGAAACATTATGACTACATGTTGATCCAAAGTGTTCCTGCAAATTAGTTCATGACTCGATTAGGCCTCAACTATACAAAGTCTCTAAAGGTTTCCTTTAAAATCTAGTGCTAAAGTGTTAACAGCTACAAGATATTTTGTGAAGATTCTGCTGAGGGAAATTGTTGGCCCGATTCGCTTATCATCTGGTTCACATTCCTCCCTGGTTTTTTGAACAGGAGTTGAGGTTTATTTCTTGTTGCCTGTTTAGGATTAGGTTTCCGGTTCCTTCTTGTCATTCTTTTTCACTCCCACTAGCTTCCTTGTGTCATTATCGCCTTGCTTGGGGTGAATTGATTAAAAAATAAAATAAGAATAAAACACATCCGATACAATGAGATTGAGATTTGGTTGCTTTGGGCAACATAAAGAAAACTTCTTTGCATTTCGCTGTTTGGTCTCCCTCTTGATAATTTCCCAAATGTGGTAGTTTATGGGATTAAAATAATGAGGACTAGAAGGCCATATATTTGGAGGGACATGATCTTGAAAATAAGATTACATAGATTAGTTCTCGTTGCTCACGATCTCCAAGACCATCACAAATGTCGTAAACTTGGTGTGTATCACCGTTTCTACCCATGTGGGGCCTGTGCAGAGCCAACTGTTGTTGTACTTGTTAACCTAGATACTTTCAAGAAGTTGGCTATATCCGAGTCTCTTTAGTTGACGTGTCTTTTCATTTCCTGTATCCAAATAGAAACTGATCTTGATATGTCTGAAAGAGAAAGAGAGATTGTTCAAATTTAACATATAACATTATGTTCGATCGTCTTTCATTTATGACACGCTAAAGGTGTATTCTCAAATACCTGGAACAACCGTGTATATAAAGGAAGTCATGAAGTATAAATTGGTATTTATGCATGGAGACAAATGATCTACTATTTTGTTATTATAAATTCTTAATCGAATGATTTCGCTATGTTATTTGGGGTGTATAGTCTATCATAAGGCACTCATTGCTACTGTTAAGTGTACGTAATAAATTCAACATAGGGATTAGTTTTCACCGGTTGCTTTTTAGTTGGTAATTATTTGGAAATTCATTTATGGTAATTTAGAACTTTATTAGTCAAAGAATGTTTCTCACTCTTCTTCCACAGTCTACTATCTTTCCTGTACTTTTATATATGTATTAGATTAGAACAAGCTGACTCTTATAACCGTAAACTTAGAAAATAACTTTTTTCAATCTTGTACAACAGACGCTCAGACCTTTCCTACATATTAACACATTTCCCTACTGATATAGAGACGCGATACTTTGTGTAGAAAGTGTCATCAACAAGACACAGATTCACATTCAAAAACTGTTATAGATAGATAGATAGATAGATAGATAGATAGATAAGAGCACATTCAAATAGATAGATAGATAGATAGATAGATAGGACACTGATTTAAAATCTTACAAAATCTTATTACAAAATTTTACAAAATCTCACAAGCTGTTGAAATAAGTGAGAATTTCAACGCCTCGGACAGACTGGTATGAGCAACGTAAATCCTCAGAAGAGTCTTTGTTTGGCTACCAATATAGTGGATTATCAGTTATAGTGAAGTGTATGAGTGTTGAAACAGATTAGTTTGATTTGGCCTTGTTAGTTAGATAGTCCACCATAAGACGAGTATAAAACAAGAAAATCAAATTGTAAAGTGAAACAACAAATTTATATACATATAAATCAATTAAGGTCTCTACAAATAAAATTAATGTATTTTGGTTGATACAAGGTCGTCAAAATGTTCGTAGTAGTCCTTGCAAGAATGAGTTTATGCGTACGTACGCAGGAACCTATGTATGTATGTATGAGCGTTATCGTAGGGTAGGAATGTCTTTGAAGTAATCGCTCAGTCTTAAAATGTTCCGTTCGCTTATCAAGTATAAAAGAGGTGAGAGAGAACGTTAGGGATAATAATAACGATCACTTGACGTTTGTCAGGGGACGTGTTAATACGCTCGTCTCCTTATCTCTGGAGACAGGCGAACTTGCTCGTCTTTTATTTTGTGTGTGGTGTTTGAAAAGGTCATTTGGGAATTCATTCCCGGATAAAATTCGGGCCTTTCCATTGGACCACGACAAAATTCGCGTCGGCTCGAGAAAAGGTCCGTAAAATAATTTGTTTCTGAGAATTAAAGATTATTTGAATTTTATTTTTAAATGTTTTCTAGTTTCCTATTGGCCGCAAAACATTTCACATCAAGATGTGAAATTTCACGAGTTTTGTTTTGGATTGCATTTGCTTAGTATACCAGATTTCTTTCCAAATGAAAGTATGCTTGAAATATACAAAATGAGAAAGAAAAGCGAGTAGTGAATTATTTGTTCCGGCTTTTTACTTCGCTCGTGAGTATATCCTTCAGAAAATGTACTTAGACCAATTGGAAAATGTTAAAATTGCGAATGTACAGATAAGTGGAATCCAAATTCCATATGTTCAGTATGTAGTTATATGCAGGTTAAATATTTGAAGTATTTGCTACAAGTACAGCAGGACTTGACATATCAACTCCACAAAATTTATTTTATTTCAATAACAACAAGGCGACGGTATTATTCCACAAGAAAAGTGGCTGGAAGCTTTTTCTCTTGTCTTCTCTAAATATCGAAAGCAAAATATTTTTATAAGACTAAAAATAGTTTGATAGTTTCAATTAAAGAAAAAGAAGTATATATAAATTTCATTATATATCATATATATATTTCATCGTTGACAAGTCTAACAGAAAACAATGAGTATCAATATGTACACTTATGCTTTGCATATAGTTATTCAAGTAATATCTTCTCAAATAGACCTTTTTAAGATTTTTGTCGGCTTCGAAGAGTTTTACAATGGACTGACCGCAGCTCAAAGTACGAATATGTAATACAGAATTTATTATTTGACATATTTTTGAAAAATAATATTATACAGTGCAGAAACAAAAGCCACAGAAAAATCTGTCTCCAATTCAGAGATTAACATTAGTTAAGAGATTATACAATCTGTTGTCTTGAATGCGATTGAGCGTTCATGTAGAAAAGCAACGGAATCAATGGTACAAAGAAAGCAATTTGTTCGTTTATAAATAAGCAAGATAGAAAATGAAAAAGAGAAACTGATCGACAGTTTATGTCAACAACAAATTTCTCCCAACCAAATGGAGATCGAGACAATGACTGAAAGTAGTGACAAATTTCATTTGATGTCAGAAATGATAAAAACATCCCATCTCAAAATCAATAAACTTGTCCGAGGAAAAAGTAAAAGTAATAGAAATTGTAAAGATAATTGTCACAAGAATAGAAAAAAAAAGAAGGAAAACATTCAGATTAGGCAACACACGAAGACGTCTCGACAAAGAAAATTCATCCACGAAGACCTCAATCATAACAAACAATTAATTTTGTAATTCTTTCTACACACGACATGCGTAAATAAATCATTAAGTCAAATGCATATCATCTTACACAACAAATATTTATTTTTCAGCATAATCTCCTTCATTTAGTGATAAGTATCAATCAAATAGATCGAACACTATACACTTGCAACTTCAGATCAAAATTCAGCTAATTACTTGTCAGACTGCAGACTTATTGATAAACCTTAGATGATGGGAATAGAGCAACTTGAAAGCTTACAATTCCAAAATTCAGAAAACTGTCTCTGACTCCAAAATTTACAGTGAAACGAACAAAGACTTTTGTCATCATAAAGAATTATACACAACAACTGCACATATCTATTCATGCACCTGCTGCTAGTTAGAACAGGTAATTGAATTTGCCTATCATCTTGCAATAAACAATCTACTTTTGGAACAAAATTCGTTCTTAAATTTGCACTAATGCCTTTATCTAGTTTCTATGAGCATTTCGAAAAGAATTTTTTTTTAATGCATTGGAGGTAAATAAGGCTTGCTTTGGATTTTACATACATTTAATGAATTGCTCCGGAGAATCAACGTTTGTAATACATTCTTGACAACTTGAAATTCACGCACACACGAACTAGCACAAATCTTTACATACTTAGTGCACGTTTGTACGTGCATATAGACAGATAAAATTTTTCATGGCTGCTACTATCCCCTAATTTTACAAAGAATTACCCTTTTGTCAACCATAATTTTCCGAAAGTGATATGATGTGAACCTTTACTGAAAGCGGTAATTCAATTTTTACTTTTCCAGATGTATTTACAAATAGCTTTATGACTAAATTGATTTCCTGTGTCAATATATAAAAACAGTTTTCCATCTGCTTTTCACTAATTAACTTCTATTTTTCTGTCTTTTCTTTCCTTCTCTGTAGTGTTTCTGTCGACAACATCTTGTACGCGTAAAAAAATTGTGGTGAGAGAATAGTTTTAAAAAAAGTATTGAGCAATCTCCATAAAATCTATTATCTACAATCTAATATTTTCTTGCTCTTAGCCTCTATATTTAAGCTGAACAGTGTTTATACACATTTTATAGGATAAATCTTCCATCACAATGACGATAAAGTCAAAAAAAGACAGTGACTGATTAGAAGAGCTTGGAGTGGCAAAGCCCAGCAACTTATCAGTTTGGTAACTTAAATACATTTCTTTTATAAAAAAAAAAGTTTAATTACGTTACCGAATTTATAAAGTCAAAGGTTCAAATCAGTTATAAGCTAACATCTAAAGGACATTGATTAACTA